CCACTGGAGGAGGCAGCTCAGGGAGCACATACTCAATGAGGAGTGGATAGATACTTCTCTGCAGTGGAAGCAACTTTTATTTATGCATTTATTCGTTTATTCAGAGCAGAAGGTCAAGAGGATTTTTTTTTTTAGACAAGCAGGGGTGGGAAGTGACTGAAATTAGATCCGAGGGAAGAATACAGGAGAGACCTCCTGCAAACCTCTGCCTGCACAGCTTTGATGGGGAGGTCATTGCTGCTGGAGCCGTTCCTGCTGTGTCTCCAGGGACAGCCTGTGGGCAGAGGTGGTCCATGGATACCTGTCCACCCTGTCTGAAAATGCTGTGTGTGATTTGCCTGCAGTCTAACAGCACACACTGGAGCAGCTCTGCACCCTCCCATGCTGCCAACACCCCCCTTTCACCCTGACTGGCAGGGTGGAGCTGCTTGCGGCCACATCTGCTCCTTCCTCTCTGGCAAATCTAAGCCAGCACAATGCCAAGATCCTCCTGCTCATCAGCAGCTCTTCTGAGGGCTTGTGCATTGGGATCTTACCTGGCATTGTCAGGGCAAGCTTAAGAAATGTTTCAGGAATTACAAAACAGCTTTGCCTTCAGTCCGCTGGGGATACCTTTTCCTCCTGCCTCAGCTGCCTCCTCCTCACCTCCTCATCTTAAGTGTCTTAAAGTAATAGGAGTAGTGGGAATTTGCTCAGGGTAGTGGTAGAGAAAAGTAAAGACATTTTTCTCAATCACTGCAGGAATATACTCACACTGGATGCCATCGAGTTGTTTGAGTATGTTGGACATCCACACCAGAGCAGCAGCCAAAGATATCTGTCATTTCTGACTCTTCCTGTAAGCTGAGGCATTAGTCACAGAGCTGTGCCTTTCTCATTTAAACCCGCATTCCACACTCAGAAATAAAGAAGGAAACCATGGAAAGATTGTTGCCATTTCATTAGCTGACCTGAACAAGCCAAGCAACCCATGCCAGCTCTCCAAGAAATGTGGTGCCTTCCTGTCCACCCTCAGTATGTCTTCAGCTATTTATTTAAAGCTCCTTGAGCTTTAAACAGATGCAGAGCAGCTTTTCAGATCAGGAGTTTTTAGGGGCCATTCTGAAGCACATTTATCAGAAGAGACCTGAGGTGACACTGATTTACAGACTGGCACAGGCATTTTGTGAGTAATTCCTATCTCCAAGGATAGGAAATACTCACAGGATGGGTGCAGTCTGGGCTGCCATGTGGGGAAAAAAATAAGTGTGTGTGTCGATGTTCCCCACTCTGCTGTCAAAAAAAACTGAAATAACCCATTCAAAAGGGCTGAAGAAACTAGAAGTCAGTCCCTGGTGCCTGGATCTGTAGTGAGAGGGACATTACTGGATGATGTGATCCCTCCAGATTGCAGGGTTTATTTCTTTGCAACATTAGAGGACTTGTCAACCCTGAAGGGACTGAGGGAGGGAGGATGGAGAGGATGAAACCACCTGGATGTGCAGCACTGCAGGTTTAAAGCTCCAAGTCCCAGGGCACACACAGCATCTATTTAACATCCTTGCAGCTTCTGGGCTTCAGCCTGAGAATTGCTCCAGCGCCATGAGCCACAGAGCCTCCCCTCTGTGCCTGCATTAGGCTTTTCTTAACATTCATAGGGAAACAACAAAAGTTCCCCTTTTCCTTTACAGCTCTTTCACTTTTCGCCTAATGAAGGTGGAATATAAAATGTTGAAGGAAAAAGCAGCTTTTCCCCTACAGTAGAATTTCTTTTTCAGTTATTTTTAATCTGACATCTGTTTTAACATGCATTCACAGGCTGCATTTATTTTAATTTTTTCCCTCCCTTGTGTTTTATTATTTACCTCCCGTTCCAAAGAGATCACAAAAGATTACACTTCAGTGAAGCAATAACAGCAGTGGCAATGACCTCCCTTACTTCTCACAACTTTTCTTTATACCCCTCTGTTCTTCCTTTATCTACATCTTCCCATCACTGCCATCCCAGAGGCCTCGTTACAGCTGCCATCACACGGGGTGGAGGCATCCATGGGGTTTTTTTGGAATTGGACAGACATGTGCTGAGTGGAACACAAAGCCCTTCTTGTTCAGAGCCCCAATAGTCGTTCTTAGCTCTGTTTCAATTCGTGCCTTTAAAGAAGTTCCACCAAGAAATCAGGCTCTGGGTCAGCTGTGGTGCCTGTGCTTTGAAGAAAGCCCCAGACTCTGCAGAAGGCAGCAGAAAGCAGCCAGCACTGAGACGTGCCAGCCTTCTGACATGATGCTGGCTGAATGTTTCATTTCCCCTGGAAATGAAGATAACATCCTTAATCATCTTACGTGTAATTAAATTAAATCACGGAGCACACGCATTCCTCGCCTCCTCCTAAGGAGCTGGTTGCTCAGGTCTGAGCTTTAGGGTGGAAAAAGAAGAGTTCTCAGTGGATTGGGAATCACTACAGAGAGTTTTAGCACTTTCCAGCCCCAGGGCAGCCTGTCAGGCAGTGAGAGCAGGGGCTGGCTGCAGCTGGCAGGCTCAGAGGTGCAGCTCACCCAGCTCCTCCACTTTGTCCCCAGTTTGTGACAGTGGCAGGGACCCCTAACCCATGGGATTACCCAAACAGCCTTGGCCCAGACATAGGGAGGAAACTGGTTGGCTGCTTTGCTCATTTGCTTGTCTTGTTAACTAGTAAAGAGGTGAGAACTCCTCTAAGACTTTGAATAAAAGCAGAGCTCATGCTATTACTGAAATGGAAAAATCAGGCTATGAAGCCTTTACCTCATCATCCTTCCAGGCAAACCATCATCCTTCTTAGGGTGTGGTTACTATGGTGAACTGCACCAGCTGAGCCTGCAAAGGGCCTGTTCAGCCTGAGGAAGAGGTGACTGAGAGGAGACCTCACCAATGTCCAATAATATCTGAGGGCAGTGCCAGAGCATGGTCCAGGTTGTGCCCAGCAAGAGGACAAGAGGCAACAGGCAGATACTGATGCTCTGGAAGTTCTGCATGGACATAAGGAAGAACCTCCCTGTGCAGTGACCAAGCATGGAGCAGATGGCCTAGGGAAGCTGTGGAGTCTCCCTCACTGGGTGTATTCCAGTATGGACACAATCCTGTGCTGTGTGCTCTGGGATGGCCCTGCTGGAGGCTGGGCCAGCTGTGCTCCCTTCCAACCCAACCCCTTCTGTGATTCTGTGATTCCTCTTCTCCTTCCACACAGAAAACAGGACTTGAAAAAACAAGTGTAGTCATTTCCAGTATGGCTTCCTCAGTTTGTTAACATTGTTTAAGAAGCCCTTTGTTTTCATCTCAGCTAAAGAAGCAATTTTAAATTTATGCTTCCTCAATTCAGTGTTTTCAAACACTCCCTGTGATCTCAGAGATCTGAAACTTTTATGCCTCAGGAAAGCTTTGCTGTATTTTTCTGCACCCATCACCCACTTACTCCTGCTTTTAGGGAGTGCAAGGGCTGCAAACATTCTTGGTGCTTCTTTCTAAGCCTTATCACCTCTTAATTTAGCATGGTTCTGACTTTCTGTGACTTTAACAGTAATAGGCATTCAGTAATTTTACCAATGATGTCTTTACATAATAAGAACACTCTTCTCCCTGTTACATAAGGACTGACCAGAAGGACAATTTTCTTTCTCTCCTCAGCAGGTTGCATCTAAATAAAAGCAGTTCCCTCCTTTTATTCCTACCCCACACAATACATATCATCCAGCTGTGATTTCAGCAAAAGCTCACCAAGATTTGAAAAAAACTTGCTGCTGTTGTTCGTGGGGTTTTTTCCTCCCCAAGAGAGGCAAGGAGACAAAGTTCCAACTGAGCAAAATAAAATTAAAAGTAGATCAGTTTTTTCTGTCTCAGTGGCATGTGCTATGGTATATAATGTATGTTCCCTGCTTCACAAAGGAAATGAAAGAATGAACTTATATGACTGATGAAATAAAGATATCAAAGTATTACTTGCCCCAGCTGATATGTGCACTTCACATATAATTACTATTTAATATCTTTGTTTCCTACAAACCAGGAAAAAAGCTTACCCTCTCACCCAATTCCCTCTTCTAGTAAATAAGCTGATGCAGAATATTCTAGATTTGCAGCTTCTACTTTACTTTCTTCTTGAATTTATTCTCTTCTTTGCAAAGTAATGTGGTCTACAAAACGAATCTATTTAAAATCCTAAATGAATAAGTGTTATAAAAATAATAAATTAGTATACAAGACTGACTTGCACAAAACATATGTTACACTCTGAAATATATTTAGACATGAGTGCATAATTGCCTGTTCCTTTCCTAATGGCCTGAAGCACAGAACTAAATCTGAACTTTTCCCAAAGCCTGTGCAGCGATGGAGAGCCTCCCCCTCCACGCTTCCCAGGAGCTCAGGTGCTGCCTGCAGCCTCCACAAACTTCAGCTGAAGAGCAGCAAATGGCCAGCAGGAAAAAGATGGGACAGATGGAAAAAAGGGCAGTGAAGGGTTAGGGTGAAGGGCAGCAAGCCTAGGAGCCCACACCGTGAGCACTCCCAGCTTCCTGGGGGTGGGAACGAAGATCCTGCCACGCCACCTCCAACCTCAGCTCCGAAATTAAAGGAGTCCCTGTACCTGGCTCTCTCACAGGCTCAGTGCTGAATCTCAGAGCCCAGGAATGCTTCTGGCCCTGCCCAGCAGCCTCAGCTGGCCTCCAGCCCTGCCTCATCCCGGGATGGATCCCACACCTGCTCAGGTGGCAGCAGTCTCCTGGGCAGCCCCTTGGATAACCTGGCCCTTGCTGCTCCTGATGGCATCCCTGGCCCAGGTTCAACCCCTCACACCCCCCAGGGCAGCCAGCAGGGTAATTTTGGGCTGGTACCAGCAGCTTCTGCAGGAGGGGTGAGAGACAAAGCTCTGGGTAGTGTTGGTGGCCCACAGAAAATGCGAATAAAACCTGAATCACCATGGAGTTAAACAAAGACAACCAATTGCTCTGAAACACTGAGCCTTCTGCTCATTCCTCGAAAAACAACAACCTCCAAACCAGAATCATCTTTATTTGGATGTGTTTACAGACCCTGTTAATTTTTTTTTCCTTTTTTGACAAAAGTTTTGAGCAGAAAAAATGTATAAACTGCATTCCAATCGAGCTTCTGTGAAAACAGAGAAGCTTGGAGTGGCACAGTATTTCACATAGGGGCGTTTCAAGGTTCATGGAGAAGGGAAGTGGCTATCCTCAACTCTTCAGGAACTCTCTCCCTCTGCAAACAGAGCTGTCACCCCTGGGGTCACCACCAGCAGCCCATGTGCACACCAAAACCAGAATTTCTCCTGGCAACTTCTTTCATCAACACAGCTCCCATGGAGACACTGAGGCTGTTCTCAGAGACTCACCTTACAAAGCAAGGTGGCAAAGTTGGACCTCCAGTAATTTTCAGGTACTACACAGAGTCCTTCACCTACAAACTAAAGTATCTCCAAAAAAATTAGTTTTTATTGTCACCTTAATTGTCCTAAAGACAACCGACAACAAAAAAAGTGTGGTTTGCAAGTGGCTTTACTTCCTCACTATGAAAGTATGGACATTTATAACATTTATTAACATTTATTTGAGCTAAACAGCAGCAAAATCCAGTGTGTGGTGGCTGGGAGGGCACAGCAGAGGGTCAGACTGGAAAAATCCTGGTGGGAGCTGATTTCTTGTAAGAGGCTCTGTGTTTCTGAAAGCTCAGCAGCAGAATTTTCCCCTCCATATGCAGACAGGCACTTGGATTTTTCCTTGATGAAACTGGCATTGAAATCAGAAGGAAAATTCATGGTAAAAATGGGCCATTTTCAGGAAAACAAACATGAAAACAGAGTCACAGCTCAGCCTCACCTTCTGTGTTGAGACCTAAAGCAGAAAAAGACTGAAAGCCTTGGATGAACTATTTCCTGAGAAATTAAGGCCCTTTTTTAATCCTGAGCACTTCATATGGGATTTTGCTTTCTGTATATGTTGTTTTTCTTGATTTTTTTTCCCTAATCAGCTTTCCTATCTGTCCAAGGTTTTTTTTAGCACTCTAGTGATTCAGGTGGTATAGGCAGATAAATAACAGAGTTATTATCTTTATAATAAATCTCTTTGTAATAAATGCACCTTGTAGCTTGATTTACAGCAAAATCCTCCTCCTCCTCTTACTTCCATGATGAGACCTACTTAAGTCAGTGAGACTAGTCATGATGATAAGATAATTAAGTTTTTAGTACAACTCTGGTTAGTGTGCAGAATGCAGTTCTGATAAAATGAATCTACCAGCTCCAGTCTGATATTCAAAAGGTGCTGGTGATTTGGGTATTGTTCTTAATGTGCTCTGAAAAAAAACCACTTTTTTTTTTCTTTTTTTTTTTTTTTTTTTTTTTTTTTTTTTTTTTTTTTTTTTTACATTAAAGCATTAAACCCCATACAGGACACAATTCAGATCATCTTTTAAATTCATGTATTTCTTTTGGAATGGCAAAGTTGAAGTTCAGCCAGCCTAGCAGTGTCACCTGCAAACTGACAGTCACCCCCCCTACATTAAAATGGAAAGATTTGCATGAATGTGTTTCAAAATGACAGGAGACAGGAATTGGAGCTTCTAAGCAAGTTAGACTAAAATTTTAAGAGTGAAATGCCTAAAAATAGGCCTCTGAATGCATAGTTAGGCACCTATATAGAGACTGCTTGATTTTCAGTTGTTCTGATCACCCAGAGCTCCCATTAACTTCAGGAGCAACTGTGGATACTCAGCTGTTCCAGAAATCAAGCCACTTTTATTCAAGGGTCTAAATATGGATGTCTGTGCCCAAGTTTGGGGGGGAAAATAGAAAAAATAAAAAAGAGGTCTCATTGCCTTTTTTTTTTCTTTTTTTTTTTCTTTTTTTTTTTCTACAGAAGACATTTGATAAAAGAGAAATAATAACGAAGTTTCATTCTTCTTTCCCCTTACAATGCCTGAGACTGAATCAACAGAAGAATTAATAGTGTAACACATCTGTGCCAGAAGATTTTGTCTGAGGTGAATGGAAATCTATTCCAAGATCAGTAGCTCTTAATTAGCAATCTGAAACGTTCCATATATATTTCATATTCTGAGAATGCAAAGTGTTACCAGGCCACCTAAATCTCTTTCATAGTATTTCAGTGTTGCCATTAATAAGCTTTTCAGGCTGGTCTGAGGAACTTTGCAAGATTAACTTTGCAAATCTGTATGTATTAACTATTTAACTATTTCAGAAATGCCACTTTTTTTTCTGCTTTTGGATCAAGTACAACCAGCAGACTTGAGCATATTTTTAAATACCATGAACTATGAAGAAGGGAGAATTAGGCCTTTAATTCTATCATATGCACTTGGTTGTCAGAAGACTTCTGAATGCTGTTTGCTTAAAGACCTCCTTTGTAAAAGTAATCCTGAGTTGGTTTTGTGTCTAAGCCATTGCCAGTTCATGCTGAAGTGCATAAGAGCCAGTCACATGATAGAAAATCTGCAAGAAAAAAAGAAAATTTATGATGGAATTATATATGACTATAAAGCTGCAAGTGCCAAGGATAGATATTTGTTTGTGTGTATGCATAAAATATGATGTAATATCCCTTAATATATTTTTATTTGTAGAATATGAACTAAGGGTTCTTGCTGCTGTGTTTGGAAAAAAAAAGCAAAAAGCAAAGACTCTTGCTGCTCTTAACTAAGATTTCAAAGAGAGCCAGGTAGAAGCCAATGCTTTCCTCTGGCATCTGGTTTTGACTCTTTTAGTATGTTTTTTATTGAATATATTGACTGAGACATTTTACTTTCCACGTTTTTAGACAGCATAGAACAGCAAGAGCTTTGGTCATGTCTGGGGCATTTGTGCAATCCCTGGCAGATAAAAGATAAAACCCTTAAGGAATCAGAACAAATGGTGCAACACAATCACTGGCTGTGTTCTAACACCCAGCAGTGATGGCAGTGGCAAAGAGAAAGCTCACGCAGCTCTGTCATAACCAGGGACATAATTTTAGGTCAAGAGTGAGGCAGAGGGAGCAAGACAACATTATTCTTATTGCAGGGGTGAGCCAGGGGTTTTCAGGAGTCATGAATATTAACCTGACATCTCTAAGCTGTTCTTAAAACATTTCTTAGAACATGTCAGTATTTCAATTGCTAGGAAAGGGAAAAGACTGGAGGTTTTGTCGTCCCCCAAAACCCCTACACCTCATGTTTTCCCAGCAGCAGCAGCAGGATAATGACTCTCAGATATTTTTCTTGGTTAAAGGTAATATCACCTCCTCTCCCGGGCTTAATGAACATGGGAGTCAGGACCAAAAGCCTTCATGTTTTGGTAGTTCCAATGACACTACACTGTTCCCAATTACCCTGCATCCTTTGGGGCTGATACCCTGTGCCACTGATGTAGATCATGGATACACAGGTCAGAATCCTTCTTCCCACTGGGAACCTCTTCCCCAGGAAACAGCCAACATGTAAAACATTCTCTGTCAGCAGCACCCATATGTAGGATGAGATGTGACTTTCTCCACAGGATGAGGAGTTGTGGCACAGTGACACGAAGGGTCTGTGAGGCTCAGTCACAGCTGGGACTGAAGGGGAGAACACTGCATTTGAAAAGACTCTGTACACGCACAAACTGAGCCCTTTTTGCCCAGATTTTGTAAAATTTTACACTGCCAGCATGGCCTAGACCACGGTCAGCTGCCCCAACATCAGAGCCCCAGATGTCTGTAACAGCAGCTCAAACCTGAATAAACACTGAGCAGGAAGTGAACCTGTCATTAATAATGAATTAGAGGGATGTTCCATTTCTGCAGAAGCAGTAAGCCAGCACTTTTAGAAAGATTACTTTAGTTTTTCACGAGTTGTGAGCTGCCAACAACCAACCTGCTGCTCAATGTCTCCCAGTAAACTACTGGCACCCAGGCGGAAGAGCTCTGGGGTCAGCCACTCCACTCCCAGCTCCTCCTTCACCAGCATGAGCCAAGTAATAGCTTCCTTGGCTGTCCTAATGCCTCCTGCAGGTTTAAATCCAACCTTTAGAGAGAGAGAAAAATAAAATAAATAGAAGTTCAACACACATTTTCGTCCATCAGCAACCCTAGAAGAGCAATCAATGTTTGTACAGCTGCAGTCTCAAAGTGCCTGTGATGTAACAGCTCTGCCTGGGAAGGACCTGAGTTAGAGCCTGCAGAGAGATGCAGGACTTCAGGCAGCTCTCCAAAATGCAGTTTGTTGTATCCAAGATGTTACAACAGTTCAGAGCATCTTAATACATAAGAACCAATCTATACCTTTACTTTTACCTATAGCCTATCATAACTATATCATTACCATACTATGGTTAATACTATCCAATCACATGAGTTTGTATGTTACAGTTTAAGCTTAAAGTTGTTCTTCAGTTTTCTTGCAGTGGAAAATTCTGAGACCTTATTTCTACTTGCCACATTGACATGTCTTGTTTGCCTGTGGTATATTTCTGCTTTGTAAAGACATCTTTTTGTTTGTGGTCAGCTTATCCTTTGCTCTAAGTCATCAAATCTCTTTCCAACTTGACATGTTTTCTTTGTTATCCAGCAAGACTGGCTGAGCAATTGTCAATTTACACATTTATTATTCTTCTATATCAAAACCTGCTTCCATCTCTATTCTGTTCTCAGGTTCTTCATTCATTCATTTCTGCCAAGCAAACATATCAAGGTCTGGACTAGAACTGGGGGCTACCAAACCTCAGCCATCACTGCCAAAGATAACATTTCCATCCTGAAGGAGCAACACTTTTGGCTCCTGTGTACTTCCTCAGGAGCTGGGCTTGAGGTCTAATGGGAGTACTTTGCCTCTAGTACAAGGGATTTAGGCAGGACAGGGATACCTGCATAATCACATAGTGCCCATCTCATCATCACCTACTGCCAATCTAATTCCAAATATAAAACAACAAATCTACAATAACATAACTCTAAAGATGCTGCAGGTGAGGTGGCTGGCTCATGGGCAGCACTGAGAACTGGCTGTGTTTTATAAAAAGCCTGTGCAGCACAGTTACACATGATTTTCCTGTGCATTCAAACCTATCAGACGTTTGATTTTCACTAAAATATTCCAAGTGGGAATTAGATTATGTCTGTCTTTATGAAAAATTGAAAGGTCTGTCCTTCACCACAGGCTGGGTGTGCTTTCAGTCCCTCTGTGTGGGATGTGGGTCATACCTGAAGGTGAACTTCCACGTCTGCAAAGGCACAAACACCAAGTAAAACTTTGAGGTAAAGGGTGTCTGGAATCCCATGCTGGACCTGCTGTGCACTTGGCATACACCCCTAGTGCCAATCCTTTGGTTATGTGCCATTTAAACACAAGACAGAGCTTGTGATACTCAAGCTATCAAATCCCTCACCAAAAATGCCAAAATGCTGGCCTGTAGCAGCTACCTAAACTCTGGAAAAGCAAGGGGAATCAGGAAAAATTATTCCTGTACAAGAAAGAGGTAAATCTGAGCACCACACTGATTCTTCCTATGTTTCCTTTTTCCTTTACATTCTGCAGGAATTATCATTTTGTTTTTGTATTCAAGCTCCCAAAACCTCACTGCACTGAGGATTTCTTTGTGCCTTATGGACATAATAGTGGAATCAGAAAGTATCTTTTTTAAAATGTGCTTGGTAATCTTTTTTATATAGTGATTTCAGGACCAACAAATGCAGGATAAATCCTTCTCTCATGCTGGAGCATTGTGATAATGGCATATTTCCAATAAGATTAAAAGGAACAAAAGCAGGAAAAGCTTGATAAATCCAAACCACAAAAACTGTGGTTTTGTGGATGGACAAATAGATGTGTGAGTGTGTGTATACGTCTGTTAATGTTAGACCTCCAAAAAGAATTTAAAGCCCAGCAACTGCAAAAGAATCTTCCAGATAATAAACAAAAACAGTTGGAATGTGCTTTCCCTCAGGAAGAGAAATTCTAATGAAATTTGAATTTAGATCTCTTCCTAGAAATACGACGTCTCTTTGAGATAATCTGTGGCAAAAACAAGCGAAACAGAGTTAATAAGAGAATTAAAACCATCATTCAGAACTCCTTCCCCTTTTAGCAGATTCTGAAAGCTCTTTTCTTTGCAAAAAAGCTGACAAAGACAAGCCTGTCCTCTCCTCCATTTACCAGCTTTCCAAACAGCACATCTGACTGCCATAAAAACGTAAAAGGAAGGAGGGGTTGGAATTTAATTCAAGAGCAGTACAAAGTCCAGCTACCACTTTCCTGCTGTTTCACAGTATTTCATTATTTTGCTTAATAAGTTCATCTCCTCAAGAATTTTCTCTTCACCTTACATTATTAAAAGTAATAAGTTTTTCTGGATTGGGGGTTTTCCCAACAGAAAAACCAATTTATGTATGTCCTTCAATAATGACAGGAAAAGATTATTTCCCATTATATTGCACACTTTTCATATCACCACCACAGCTTATCAGTCAATAAATGTTACTCTGCAACTTGTTCCTTTCCTTGAAGAAGTTTAATTTCTGTATTAACCTGTTTTTCCCAGGCAACGCCTTGCTAGAAAGCATCCCTACAGCAGCAAAATTAGTTTGTTAAAGAAACCATTTAGAAATGTCTTGTCACTGATAATATTGTCTTCAGTTAATAAAAGTGCATAAAGTCAGTTTACATCTAATTCACTGACACACACATGCACACGGACACAAGCACTTACTCTTAATAACACATTTCACACCGTGAATGCCTCCTTTGAAAGCAAAAGGTGAATTCAACATTTATATCCAATTATGGGGACAAAGCTGTGCTAATGCAGCTTGTGGCACCCGGCCCTGGTGCCCAGGGGGGTCGCTGGCCCCAGGGACCTGCCTCACGCTGGGGCACTGATGTGCTCCCACAGAAACAAGACTATTGGGGCTGCTCAAGTTATTGTGGGGCAGAGGGAGAGGCAGGAGGGGAAAGGAGGAGTGGGGACAGCCCAGGGATCCATGCTGGCCTCATCTAGATGGCTGCAGAGTCAGTGGGCACACCTCCAAGCTGGTGTCACACGTTCCTCAAGCTCCTACAGCCCCTGAAGCCTTCTCAGCCCCCATCCCACTGCTCACCCCATCTGCTGACGCTGAACCGTGCAAGGCCACCTGCAGAAGGGACAGAAGGAGAGGCTGGAGAGGAGGGAAGAGTGGCCAGACATGGGGAGAGGCTCTCAGCTGGAGCTATGGCTTCCTGCCCTGGCGCTGAAGGCGAGGACAAAGCCCACTGCTGAACACCAGCCCCTGATCCAACTGGCAGCCCCCACCTGCCCATGGAAAAAGGAAGTGAGAGGTGGCTTAAACCCTCCTGGGAATCTCCTCCTTTCCCAGTGCTGCAGCAAAAGGATGAATGCACAGACAGTTCATCACTGGCTTTGCTGTACATTCCCCTTTTCTCCACCGACCTCACCTGGCAGTGACCTGATCGATGAACATGAAGTACCAGGATATAACGTTCTTCCAACCCTTGTTCCCCCCCTCCTTCCTTCCATCCCAGGCAATGGGATAGAGCTGGATTTGCTTCCTTGTCCCCTTGAAAAGCCTCTATGGCAAGGGAGGAAAGAGCAAAATGTATCCCTTGGGTCGCCAGGACAAAGTCAGAGAACACAGTTGTGTACATTGGACAGACTCAATGGCTCTACATTTGTATAGCTCTGCTGATGTTTTTGGGAGCATGTCAGCCACTATCAGCCCTGTTATTAATGGGCATGACCACCTAAATAGTGAATAAAAACTCAAATCCACATGCAGCAGGGAAGGCTTTGAGTGCATGAGCTTTCCAGAATGAAGTCACAGTTCTTCAAGAGAGGAAACACAAAAGTAAAAAAAAAAAAGAATATAAGCAAATCTATACTATTGCATCCTTATTTCTTTGTGAGTGAGCCTGTTTGGTTAATTTTTTCAGAGGAAATGTGAAGTACCTTGTAGCCAGTTTGCCAGTAGTACTCCTTAATGGCTCGCATCATGACTATGCCAACGGGAAAGGTCGCGTTTTCCACCTCCTTTCCAGTAGATGTCTTTATGAAATCAGAGCCTGAAAGGAAGCAAAATGTTTTATAACAGTTTTAGAACCAGAGTCCCTCTGCACATGGAGGTTCACAGCTTCAAAAATGCCCTCCTGTTTCACAGCAATTCTGAAGCATTCCTTTACACAGATGTCCCCATGGTGTACATAAATCAACATTTTAGTATTTCCACCAGGATCTTTGAGAATAGAAATTATTTGCATCAGGTTTTTTTAATTTAACTTCACTTGGTCTCAGGTCTGTCAGTCTGCTGTTGTATCTCCCGCAGCTGTTTCTAAAAGAAGGGAAAGATATCTCATGTGTGTTTACTAAACCAGCTGTGTAACACTGTAAACCAAGGCAAAACTCCCTTTTTATGCATTTAGCAATTGTAACATTGCAAGTTACTATATTTAAATCCACAGTCTGATTTAATGCAGAAACAAGGTCAAAACATCTGTGTTCTTTAAAGAACAAGAGTTAGCCTTGGCTTATTTTTATCTGTGTTCTCCCTGGTGAGTAATATTCTCCACTGCCTGCCTTAATACTTGTGTAACATTCTTGTGTATTCTTGCTGTTCTTCCTTGGCTTGAAAGAAATCCTGAAGCACAGTGTAACAAAAAGCTAAGAAACTAACAAAAAATAATGTGCCTTGCAGTGCATGATCAGAACACAATGACAAAACTTCTTTAATTTCATTAGGACACACTTCACCCCTAGGAACCTACTTCTTAGAAAAGGTGTACTGTGGGATCATTAATTATCAAAAGTAATTGGGAGAAGAAGAGGGATAATTCAAACATCGTGTAGTAGTGTGCATCATCCACTTAAGTCAATTGGAACTGCATCTGCTTCCACTTCAGATTTGGCTTGGGGTCCGTTTTGTGTCTTATGTGAATGATGATGCCTCTACAACATCCCCTGGAGCAGGGAAGGGAAGTTTCAGCACTGGCTCCAAGAAAGGAGTTGCCTTGACTACACTCTGTGCGCCGCAGCGCGCTCCGGAGAGAGCCTCCCGGCAAGGCAGCACAAAGCCAGGCGTGTTTCTCTGGCTTTTAAACACAACCAAATGGTACCACCAGCTCTGGGGCTCCTGAGGCCACGCAGTTTTCTCTGTAGGCTTCCTGACCAGGCACCACGTCAGCCCAGTGATGGTTCAGTTGCACCCTCCCGTGGCAGCTTCCATTCTGGAGAGAAACAGCTATATGCGAGAAAGATCCCAACTCCACAGAAAGTGCAATGTGCAAAAAGAGGCAATTAATAGCTGATAGGGCTTTGCAGAGAATGGAGCACACAGGAGAGACAACTGACTTGCACATTTCAGAGCTGCTCCCTTCCAGGGAGACACCACGGACATCTGATAGTCACATTAAAACAAGGAGCAGTGGAAGTGTAACTCCAACATCACCAAATTATATTTTTAATTTCCCTTTCGAAATGTAGCACTTAAAAGTCCTTCAGTGCAATACTTCTCATTTTTTTCTGCTATAAGGTAAGTCAAAGCTTTTATAAGTCTTATAATTACAAGTCTCTATGGTACAGTTTCATTAAAAACTTTCATTAAACAACAGCTGCCCTTGTATATGGTCTTCTAATCAATTTAGTCAAACAGAATGACTTCTAATCAGCTGTTGATAAAAATAGAAGATGAAATTTTAATTCTAATAGATTAACCACAAACTCAAGATAGTCTTCAAAATCCATCTAGTTCTATTCTCCAGTGGATTTAACGACTATTCAGCAACTCATTACTAAATAGAACAAGATGAACATTTTCCAGTTCATTAAAGAAATGTACTATGTATTTTTGCATTGTCCTCATGATTCGTTACAGGGAGTCTTAATTACAAGATAATGGATAATGGTTATTAAATGCAGACTCCAGTAATGAAGCTCTATTCATTTGCGAGCCTCAGAGACTGCAAAGAGGGGAAAATAAAATTACTAGCTTCAAAAGATTAACGGATCAAATTATTATTCAATTTTGAAAATCTCATTCAGACTTCATAGAAACAAGAAGAGATTAAAAACTAGTATTAGTACAAAAGTTGTGCATTTATATATTTATTTTTAAATAATATCTTAAGGCTATTATGAGAATAATCAGCTTTAGATGTGATTATTAGACAAACATACAGCCAATTAAGTAGCATCCTCTAACAATGAAAACAATACATTTTTATTTGCTGAACAAATTCTTTTTATGGCACAAGAGCTTGCTAGCAGGACTGCAGGCAGCCTCTTGCAGAAGACAGAGGACCCACACTAGCACAGAGTGCCACAATGGAGGGTGCTGTTAATGTTTGGATTTCGGCAATGAAAAAGGGGATGTAAAAATCAAGTGCTGACATAAAAGGCACCTCATTAAGCAAACTTTATGCCTACCTTGTGATAATAAGGGAGTTTCACCCAGTCTATTTCTTATTCAAGTTCCCAAAAACAAGTTTAGGGAATTAAGTTCAGAAGGAGTTTCACCTGGAAATTTGGGTGATGATTTAGAACCCTGAGTTTTATCACCCATCTTCTCATCTTCCTGTAAAGGGATACACTCAAAAAAATCAAGGCTAAGGCTAATATACACACTGAATGGCTTTCCCCTTCCTTAGAGTAGATTACATGATTCAATGAAGCATTAAATCCAAGATTTTGTAAAATCAGTTATTCAGGGTGGATTTCTAGGCCCAGTGAGCCTGGAAAAGACCACAGTTTCTACTTTAATTTTCCAACGTGAAGCCACAACAGTACACTTCCTTTCAAGGCAGTGAGTCATGTCAGACTGACTGAAGGAGGGAGATGGGATGAGCACAGCTGGTAGAACATGGTGCAGTAACACCAAGGTTGTGGGTTCCACACAAACAGACCATTCACTTCAGAGAAAGTCCATTATATTTTATCTGTTCTAGATACACAGCCTCATTTATGAATGCTCTGGTCTCCCAAAAGGTCAGCAGATCTTCCAGAACTGGCTTTCCCTGTGGCTATTCTGTACATCTACAGAGATTTCCAGCCCACCTAACACTGAAGCAGAGCGTGAGAAGTGGAGAATCTTATTCAGATGACAGCATCCAGGAAACACACTCTGATTCCATAATTAAGCAATAAGGAATAATAAGCAGCATAGCAATTGTGGAGTAATCACAACCTTTTGGTTGTGAAGTGTTTCAAATGCCCTTGGGGAATGATTATCTCCTGATACCTACAGACTCTGTGTTGCTGCCTTAGTCTTAATAAAGAACAAAGATGTGGCTGGCAGTTTGAAACAATAGTTTGGAGAGAGATGCTTGCAGAGGGACAATTATGCTCTGCTACTCTGTAAGTATTTGCAATGAGCACAAATACATCTTCATTGCTGCAACTGAGTTATAACAATATGCAGTGACTCAGGGAGAACACATATCCTTCCAAGACTTCCAGGACTGGTGGCAAAAATTCTGCTCAGAGGACCTGCAAACCCACCTGCTGTTTCTGCTGACAAGGCATCAGTGACAAAATAGTACCCTACCAAATGTGCATGAAGTCCCATTAGCAAGTCATCTTTCTATTTTATGAGCACCCAAACTAAGGGTCTTCAGATTCACACACAAATTAGCCTTACTGGGGTGGCCAGGTTAACAACCCTCTGAAAATAAGAGGCAGGGCAAGATGTAAAAGGCTAATGTAGCAGCTAATTCTTGTCAGTTGAGTCATCCTTAATTGTCCCACTCACATGTCCTCATCCTTAATTGTCCCACTTACATGTTCTTATCCTGTTCCAGCAGAGAGATAAAATACATTCCCCGTTAGCTGAGCTTTGCCATGCAGGAGAAGAGAATACAAAGCTGTGACAACTCACTCTATCAGTAGCTCAGCAGGTAGCATTATCTCCATGACACAAGGCTGCACTGCCAGACCACTTGGTTAGGTGCCATTGCATGTTTTCACATGCCTGTTTCTCAGCTACCATTGAAAAATGCTGGTTTTTAACTTGGTCTGTTGAGAACTGCCCATTTTTTGCAACTCTTTTTGAAAAAGAGGGGGAAAAAGGGGGATAAAAAGTAAAAATCCCATCATAGGGCTCCATGTTTAGTGTCTGTTTACAAGTAAGACAACTTTCTGAAAACCCATCCCAGCTTGTTTTGAAGACTCAGAATGGATGCTCCCTTTCTTGAACAGCACCCCCAGTAACAGGGATTCTGCAGGCCAAACAATGTCCTTAGGAACACTTACACATGCACACAAAGGGACAAATTACCAAGTCCACACTTGTGCAAAATTCCCTGTAGATGATGTCTGAAAGAATTCAGCATTGCTGAATTATGCATAGCTTGCTCATGCACTGTTGCAGCCTCTACCACAGGTCTCCACAGAATACTATTATTAATTAGTTGCTTGTGTGTTCATTTAAAATGTTTCTTCAGAAGGTTCAGCAGGAAGAGCCACACCACCTTCTGTTGCTCAGCTACACATCATAGGCACTTGCTATTTTTAGAGCATTCCTTCCAACCCAATCCCATCCCTACGAGGCATGGAGCAAGAGGAGATAAATAATTGACACCTGCTCTGGGTCCAAAGAGCACAGCTGGAATCCCTGTCACAGGGGCTCCTGGCTTGGAGCCACCCTGAAGCCCAGAAGGAAACATGCTCCCAGTCACCTCCCTGCACTGCCATGCAGCAGCAGGGCTGGGAGATGCCAGGGTGAAGGAGTTCAGGCAATTTTTTGCTGCTGGAACAGCTATTCCTCTTCCTCTCCAAAGAGGAAGCAGCAGGAGTGACTTGTTATGGGACAACAAGGAAGTTTAAGGAATACTTGTATTGTTATCTGCTTGTTAAATCTCATGTTTATTTACCAGGATCCCATTTTTCTTCTTTAAAAGGGTGTGCTACAAATTGCACTCAGTATATGACCTACATTAACCTTATTTCTTTTTGCAGATGGCACTACTGGAACTGCTGAAGCAGTCTGCCTAATGACACATGACAAGCCAAAGGCAGAAAGAAGAAATAAATCAAGGAATCCCAACAACTAATCCTAACCTTACTGTCACTGGAA